TGCATAGAACTGGTCTTGAGTCACAATGTGTTTTTGAATAAATAGGAAAAGTTTGACATGTTGCAATTTTCTATCAGTTTATGAATGTCCAACATATATCTGCAATTATAACTGCAGTTCAGAAATATAAGCCATCAGTGAGAAACATTACTAGCTTAGGAGCTCTCTTTGGTCTGATTCTTCAAGAGTTTGGCTTATAGTTTAAATTGACCAAATTCAACACTCCACTCAGAAATGCCAACAAGGAAAAGCATTACTGTCTCCATTAATTGCAATAACCACCAATCGTGATCATAAGAAGCGGGAAGCTCATCTACAGAACACAGCTCCTTGTGCATTACTAAGTGAGGAGATTTATGGGATTCTGTGAAAAAATATTCACCAAACAGCATGAAGATGTATTTCTTTTGAAGCATCCAAGGCATTATCTGCGTTGTGCTGCCTTCTGCCGAGTTAATAGACTTACACTTCTTAACTGCATAAGGAAAAGGAAGTTTGAGAGTGTAAATATTCTGCGTAAGAGGAATATAATGAAATTCCATAGCATATTATTCCTTTAGCAGAGGTTTTTGAGACAGGACTGGATAAAGCCTGGAGCAACCTGGTCTGACCTCAGAGCTGCTCCTGCTGTGAACAGATTGGTCTACAGCTCTCCTGAGGTCCCTTCCAGCCCAAGCCATCCTTTTATGCTGCCTGGACAATGCTTCATGGACTGGCTGACATGAAACCTGGAGGTAAAGCGAGGGTGAAATCCCAGCCCCACTCTCGGGCCGACCCTGCAGCCCTTGCTAAGACAAAAATCAAAGGACTCGGGACAGAAAACAGTTGCAAGTTGCAAAATACTGCGGGAGCAGAACTGAAAGATGTCTATGTGGTCGTGAATTAGTTCTTTTGAACATGCTGCTTGATGACTTTTTTTTTTTTAAGATGAAAAACTATTCCTGTATAACTGTTAAGTTTTTTATGAGTGCTTAGCACAGCAGATCCAGCAGTACTGTAAGTTCATAAAAACAGCTGCTTTCTAACAAGAGTGTGTGCAGTTCTGTGTAGAAGGGCAATCAAAGCTGTCACTTCGTACAATATAATGGAGCAGGACACTTGTCATCCTTGAGGCTAAGCTCACTCAGCTACTGCAGCTAATACTAGAGATTTATTTAAATTAATCTGCAGGAAAATTAAATCCATTACCTTAAAAAGCAAGGGAATAAATCATACCCAACAGGAAACCAGAAAAAGCTGCTGCCACTTCAGTTGAATCTAAGGTTGTGTGAGCACATGAAATTTTTCCTTGTCAATGACATAAAAACAATTCATAGCAGGAAAAAATAATATCAGCTGGTGTTATAATGCAAAATGCAAATGTGCTCAATGAGTTTAACACTGCAGCCAAAGTATGAAGAACATCTCAAGCTGTTTGTATTTCCAAACAAGACTTGAGGGGTCGGAGGAGGGAGGAGGACATGTGGGCAGGCTAGAATGATGGATGGCGTTTAGTGGCATGCTGTGTTTGGGTCTACTCTTGTTATTTTTGCAACAGGATGTCTCTGATTACTCTCTGAATAGAGAATAAGGATGGTTACGTCTCATTGCTCAAAGGGAACATTTTTTTCAAGCCTTACAAATTAAATAGGACATTGTAAAGCAAGCAGTCAATGAACTATCAGGTGCTGTTTGTCACAAATCTACCAACAGTGTCAGAAGATTCCCTGGGGGCATCAGCGGAGGTTTGGGGCTGGCAAATAAGGTTTATGTACTCTTGTCCTCTGTACAGCAGACCCCAGCTCTGCAGAGACCTTCTGTGTCACTGCATGTATGGTTTGGTCCAGGTCAAATCATATAAAATATATAAAGCAGAGGCACACTAACCCTCTAGATAATTATTTCAGCCATAAAGCTGATGTCATATGGAGAGGATGGAGGATGACAAAGGATGGAAGTCAATTGCTTCTCCAAATCTCATGCTTCCAGAGATCTTTGTGGAACTGGCTCTTGGCTCACAGGGTACTGCCTGGAGGAATGGCCACGGTAAAGCTGCCTAATTTAAGCACTTTTTGAGTGTCACCAGTAAGATAATGATGCCCTCTGTCCCCAGTCAGACCTCAGAGGCCACAATGACATTCAGACTCCACAGTGCAGCCCCAGCTCCAGAGCATTTCCTCAAAAGCTACTGAGGTTTCTCATTGAAGTAAACTGCAAGTCCTCAGCAACTTGTAGAAAAGGCTCAGACATAGGGATCTGGGAACCACTTGAACATGTACGCAGGGAAAAGAACCACACAAGTGTTGCCAAGATAAGAGGGTTGTGTTGTTTTTTCAAAGTAAAGGCTTCAGGCAGAAAGGAAGGGGAGAAATGCTGGAAGCAAGGTCAGATAGAACTGACAGTCGATCTTAAATCTAACTAAACTTGGGGCTGAAGCTGCAAATGGAGGCCACAAAGCGAGACACACAGGAATAATTTCTCCACAACAGCATAACATTTCCTAATGAGCCAGCTCCATGAATTAGTTTATCTAAAATAGAGATGCCAGCTCATCCAGGGTCTGGATGACTCAGTGACACCAAGGCCTTCTCAGTGGGAGTTACCAGTTTGATTCTGGCCCAAGTTCAAAGCATCAAAGAATTCACGTCTTCATGATGCCACAACCTCTATAAAAAATGTCACTGGTCTCAGAGCAGTTTCTCAGTGGGCAGCAGTTCACATCAAAGCCACCTTCAAAAGCCTTTCCAAGGAGGTGCAGTGAGCCAACATGACGGAGAGTTAACAACCTTCTCACTCTTCAGAAGGGATCTCAAGCTCAGGACTAGACTGTACAAAAACTGGTATGACTCTGCTACCCATACCAACCAGTTCTGTAACGAGGAATACGCAAAATAAATAAATAAGAAATAAAAAAGGAAGGAAGGGAGGGAGGAAGGGAATCACAATATATTTACAAACAGTACAAATGAAGGCAGATTGTGAAACAATGCCTAGTTTGCACTGGATATCACAGATGTGGTAACACAGCAAGATTAAAAAAGCACCAAACATTTCATCATATGAAGCAGCTAAAAAGAAGAAAATGTCAAAACACAAACATCAGACTAATTTTGGACAAGAACTCTCTGGATTCCTTCCCAGAGCCAAGACATCAGTCTCTTACATACAATTTATCAATCTCCATCTCATATGTTTTTGACTAGTTTTAGCATAACCATTTAAGGGTTTTATCTAATCAGCCAGGGAGAAAAGAGTTCAAAGAACACCAGGGAATATGTGGCAAAATATAACAAGGTTAGATCACTTGCACTGGATTATTCTCCTCTGGTACACCGCAGAAGAAATAACCCCAGTCATGGTCTGCATGTTCAACAGTCTACAGGGAACGAGACCAGCATTATTCAAGGTAAGTGACACTTTAAAGAACCTTAAATTAGCTGTTGACAGTCAAGTAGATAGATTGATGAGTGATTACATGAAGTCCCCAACGTTACCATTTTGTGGTAAAAGCAAATATGAAGGGGGAGGAGTAAGAAAATCTGTTAAAATTGGTTTTGCCAATCTGTGGTGCATTCAGATGACAGTGAAGTTCGTTTAAGGACACTGGAAACTTATAAAACAAATTCCTTACTCTAAATCAAAAGTTGACAGAAGGTTTCCTAGCTATATTTTTGACTCCAGAAACACTGCAAGCCATGTTAGTAGACTATGATTAAAAAAAAATAAATTTTTAAAAAATCCCCCCATGATCTTTCTTCCTAACAAGCTTTACTTCTTCCAGATCTAAATGACCACGTGCAAGCAGAGCAGAAGTGCAGCTCCCCTGAACTGCACAATTAAGGCTGACTTACTGACTGCACAACAGATGCCCTCACTGCAGTGGTCCCTAAAATATGTTTTTAAATAAAATTAACTCAACTCAGGAATCTGTAATTAGCACCATCTTCAAGAACAAATCAGAACAAGTTCATTGAAGTGCTCTAACTATTCACTATGAGAGTGAATTTACCCCCAAGGTTCACTTTAGTATTTTGTCTCAATTTTATTGTAATTTCATCCATCACATTTTTTTTCAGGCCTCCAAAAGTGATGGATAAAACACAGAAATAAATAGGACCAACTGTTCACAGAAGCCTAAGGGAAAACATAATTTTGTTATAAATAATCCCTGGCACAAATCATGGAAATGCAATACTAAAATTGTTTGTTGAATCATTTATGAATTGGGCTTTCAGTTTTAGTTTGCAAATAAGTTATAGTTTTTTGTTGATGTTCTTTTTCAGTCTGCTGTTTCAGCTGGAAAACAGCCTTTGAGAAACTGAACTGATATATAATCCAGAAAACAGAGTGAATGAAGGAATTTTTTTTTTTTAAGGAACTCCCTTTGCTAATACAGGGTGCTTTGTTTTTTGTTGTTGGTAAGGGATTTACATATGGATGATGAGAAACTAAATGATGACAAACTTTTACTTTATTTTCACCATTCTGAGTTTTCACCCCATCTTTATGCTAAACATGTAGAAAAGGCAAAGACAATACAGTGCCTTATGAAACCACTAAGAAAAATGAGTTGCAGACACCTCTGCCAGGAGACTCAAATGAATGCCTAGGATCTAACGGATAAATGTGGCTACTAAAAATAATTTACAATCTTGTGTTTGTTCTAAGATGTGAAATTCTGAAGATTTGTTGCTACAAACTAACGTGAAAGTTCAGTGGAACGTAACTGCGTGCTACCACCTTGTGCATGTAGTCGTCACACATGCAGAAATACACAACACGAGGGGAAATTCTGCTGTCTTGAGAAACAGTATTTTAGAGGACAGCTGATTGCCCAAACTCCTCACATGAAAGTTATAAACATGAAGAAATATCAAATAACAGAGAGGTGCATTTCTTTCTTAAGTCTTTTGTCTGAAATTGCTATTTTTCGTCATCTAACGAGAGAGGAGCTTGGAGACAGATAAAAGCAACATGAAGACTCATTTCTCATTAGCCGGAGCAGGAGTGCACAGTCTTACCTGATCTGTCCTCGCACCAGTGGTCTATTTTTTGTCCTGTTCATATTTGAGTCAAACGGAACCTCAAAGAACTGTAAGAAGAAAAAAAAAAGAAAAAAAAAAAAAAAAAAGAGGAAGAATCAAAATTAAAGGATGCCGGAAAGCATGCCATGCGTGGAATGTACTGTCTGCATCTGCAGGTGCTTTAATCTCTATTTTTGAAGGTTCAGAAATACAATGAAAATGGCAAACTCCTTTTACTGAGCTTTGGTAAGTCTGCATTAATGCTTTTGGCATCCCCTTAGAAAGAAAATCACCTGGAGGACAAAAATAGTTGTGCAAGTCCCCAGAAGTTAATCATTTGAAGTAGAATTTGATTCCAAGCTCTGTTCTCAACAGGTTTGACACCCCTTTTATACATAAACAATTCTATGTACACATACATACAGCCCTGCCCTCAGTTTTATAGTAATACAAACAGCCCTTGCATATGTTGTGCTTCTGGTATTTAAAAGACAAACACAACATTTTTTTTCAAGATCATCTAACTTCTGAGAACCTATAACCCACCCCAAAATCAATCAACTCTTGTAAAATGCTACCGAAACTGCGCTGCTCATCTAGTTATATCAGCAGGGAATGAACACACCATATGGGGTTATTTAACGTCACAACCCAATTTGACTTTATCCACCGCCTATGGGAAAATGCAGGCGGCACTATCTTCACGCCAGGAATTCCTGCAGGCTTTTGTACGATCTGTTTTATAGAGAGTGTGACTGAAAAAGCTGAACAGACTTTGCCATACAGCAAACTGTAAAGCCATTTAGTTTTATGTGCACAGACTAATAATAAAAATAATAAGTATGTATTTATTTATAAAAAGAGTAGTATGCATTTACAGAAAGAATATTTTCTACTGACGTTATGTCTGAGGTTTTGGGGTAGGATCTCAATTATGGTGAATACTTAGGAAAAGTACCATAACAAATCATCATTTCAAACAATCAGGCTCAGTATAGTCAAACTGCAGACAGATTTAAGGTGACTATGTGATAAACGACTGTATGATAAAATCTATGTTATTCCAGCAAGCTGATGTAACCTTTTACACAACAGAAGACAAAATTAAGAAACATCTTCATTTTGACAGTGCCACATTACTGGCCTTGCTACTTAAAGGGGCTGCATTCCCAGGTGACTGCCAGCAGGCAGGGACCTCACCAGAGCCCTACGGGTGCATATCAGGGGAAAGACGCTTCATTTACAGGCACACAGAGAACACAGGAACCCCCTTTCCCATCCGTTACTTTGAGGAAATAACTATACAACACTTTGTGAACCTCTGCTGCTGCTCCTGTGTATTGCAAGTGTGCAGGGATTGGATAGCCATGAATCATCCCGCCTAACACAGTCCACAATATTCCTTACTTGTGGTGACATTTTTAACCTCAGGTTGAACCATCTTCCAAACAGTTTTAACCATTCCTGGGAATGAGGTTATGAGACAAGCCTGCATGCATACAAGTGAGAGCGAGTGTGTACACGTGCTCAAGCCCACATGCCAGAGCTACCCTGCTCACACAGAACCAGTTAACAGTACGTGCTGAAGCCCAGACACTTGGCCAGGGGCATCTTCTTCATGTTTTGCCATGCTTGTGAAACCGTCCAAACCTGGGAAAGAAGGAGACTCAGGCAGGCGGCAGAAAAGACAGGGGAGAAGATGAAGGAAGCAGCAGAGCCAGCAAGGGTGGCACTGGCTAGGGGACCCCAAACCTGCACTCCCCTCCCCCAGCCAGCAGCTGTGAAACCCCCTGGAAAAGCAGCTGCCTCGTCCCCCTGAGTGGCTGGCCAACACAAATTAATGGATAATTACTGTTAACTCAGCTGGAGCCTGTGCTGCATATTCCAGTCCTCAGTTTGTCTGTGATGGATCCAAAAACCAGCACGGTTCTGCAGAGGAGGAATCCTGCATTTGTCGATTTGTGTGAAAGGCTGCAGATTAAATGCTCAAAAGTTAAGAAATATAAAAGCGTAGGAATTGAAATCATCAATGCAGCTCTTCATTACCAGTTCACATCCAATTCACTAATATTTCCTGCCTCTGTCTGTGTGGTGGAGCTGGCTGAGGCTTTACAGCCTTTAGAAGGTTTGTTCTTGGTCAGTCTCCATCCGGAGCAGTTGGATGGAGCAGCTGAACCCAGTCGCGACTCTCAAAGCCTTCCAATTTTATCAGGGATGTTACTGAAGCAAACTCAGCTGCTCAGCCATGAGCTACTCACGTGGAAGAAGAAGGTACTTCAGGAAGAAAAAGGGTTAGTTTATACGTCTGTCACTTTGCCAGAGCGTTCTGGTACGGAACCAGGCAAGTCATTTATTTATTTATTTGTAGACAGGCGGCTAATAGGTGATTTCTCATCCTCTGCAGCACTAACAGTCACTACCAGCTATGGCCAAAGTCGGTGGAGACCCTGGTTTAGAAGAAAAGCACAGAGAAGTCTGTGGGGCACCTACAAGACCCAACACACGGAGCCCCAGCAGCTCACTTTGGAGGGACAGGTCAGATCTGCACGGCTCCAACACTGCCCTTGAAGTGTTGGAAACTTCACAAAGAACCTTGATAGGAAACCGCAACGAGTACCTTTGGAGAAGGGAAAGCACCCGTTTGGATCTGAAAGCAGTGATTGCTTCTGACAGCTCAGCATTTTGCTAATGGCTTGTTTCACTGTTATATTTCACAGACAATTATGTTAAATGAAGAAAAAATGTCATTTGACATAGGACTGGTAGAGCAATACAAGGGGAAAATTCTATACAGCCAAATTGTTTTCTCCTGAAAATATTTTGGTCTATGCTCAGTTTTCCTTTTTTTTTCTTTAAAATACACAATTTTTATTTATATCTGCAAAATCTGACTGCTGCAAGCTTACTTACATTTTAAACTTTTGCATGTGAGGAGCTTCTGGCTCATTTGAGAGTATTTAAGCTTATGGCTAAAGATATTCTGTCTGTGATGGATGAAAACAAAATAATGTGCAAGTTTTAAACTCAATGTGTCTCAAACATCAAATGACTGAAATGAGGAACAGTTGGACACTCAACACTTGAAAGAATTTAAACTTACACAGTTATCAGTATAACCTGACAATACCATAATCAATGTATGAAATATTTCCATATATTCAATATAGTAGTTAACCCCTGACTAGAACATAAATTTTGAACAAGAAGCTTCTCGGCTGAGTTCAGTAGTCAAAAAATGTCATTGTTGTATACAGACACGGTTGCTCCTGAAATTAAGGTTACTGCATGACTTCGGTCTGAACTTTTTTGCTTTTTAAAATCTGACAATCTGAATAATCTGTTACTATCAACTGTACGCACGAAACTACATATCCAGTTGAACCACAGTTAAAAAAAAATCCTTTTATTTGCAATGCCCCAGATTCTTTCACTGGACTAGTTGCTATTACATGTCAGCAAGATGCCATTTATCAAACTTTTCCCATTTTACTCCCAGATGTTCAACAAAATTCTCTCTCCACTTGAAATTATTTTCCCCTGATATTCTAGAAAAAATGAAAAAAATGTGCATCTCAAATATCATTCCATAGGAATGAAAGGGTGAACTCAAACATACTATCTCATGCCAGGCCAGCACAGTACAGCCTGTTTTAGCAAACAGTAAATTCAGTAAGATGAATCCTGGATAAATAAATATTTTAGAAGCACTCAAGAGGCTTTTTCCTCAGGAAGTCTGAATGCATCAGTTCAGCCGGACAAGGCAGAATATTCTCTGCCCTAGGTTTGTGGGAAGGTAGCCACCAAAAGGGCAGACAGAGGGTTAAATCTACAGCATCTGAAAATCCCTGAGTGACAAAACTTGGCAATGGCTTTTAAGACCCTAACCTAAATTTTAATCAGTATGCATGAACATTTAAAACTTGATGATGGAAAAAAATAAATCAGGGCAGCCAGTACTTTGTGGTTTGTTTCTCTGGCAGGCTCATCAGACTCTTTGTGTAGATCTCATCTAGTTAATATACAGTAATTATATCTTAAACAGCTAACAGTTCTCAGATTAGCTGTCACATTACAGCTTATAGCTATTTACACACTTTTTTTTTTCTTTTTCCTTCAGCTTCTTCATACTGGTTTCCACTTTCTTTTTAAGTGAAACATTAAAGGACATTTAATTTCTTCAAGCTACCTAAGCCAAGATTCCCAAAGCATCACCTTGCAGATGCACATGGCATTACACTACGCTTGCACTCCAAGGGCTAAACATGATATGGGAAGATCGAGAGAGTGGCCCGTGCCTTTACAGGATGCTCTTTCCGTATCATCCGTTAAACACTGACATCATCCATCAAGTTTTCAAAGACAGTGACCTGACTATTTGCAGTTAATTAAACCAAGCGGAGCGGATGGAAAGCCCTGAGCACGTGCTGCCTTTGCCTTCCGTGGTCACTCCTGCGGAACACATTCTGACTCCTGAATTATGACACTTCAATATCGTTACTCCTGTTCACACAAAAAACGCAAATAAAGTGCATTAAGAGGAACAACATGTCATATAGTTTATCAAACGGATCACCCACACTTTGGCTAGTACACGGCTCTCACTGCTTTGGATTTAGAGTGCAGCAAGCACCAGCCTGGCCCCTGTCCAGGACCAGCTCTAATCTGTGACACATGGTGGAAACAGCAGCGGCTGAAATAGGCAACTGGGCTTCCACATATTGACATAACATTTTACTCTAATGCTAAACGCATATTTACATCAGATAATCCCATCAGTCTAAAGATGGAGTAGAACCCTGCTATTAAAAGACAATTTAATTCAAGGCAATTTAGAGGTCTTCCTGTTGCAAACACACCCCTCTATCTGAGCAGGCTTCCACATGTTCTTGGGCAGCAGAACTGCCCTCTGGATGTAGGTACTTCTCTCCAAAGACTCTCTGAAGAACAGTTTAGGTGAATCTATGTCACTAAAGAGCAAATTAGAAGATGAGGCTGTTGCCAAAAAGCAGTCACCTCCTCCTGCACTGAAGTGCTGCTGGTCTCCAAAATCCTCTGTGGTGGAGATAAG